GATGGGTCAGGGCTTCATAGCACTTGCAGAGGACATGGGTTCAATTCCCAGCATCCATGTGGTGGCTTACGGCCATCCGAGCTCCAGTGCCAGGGAGTCCGAGATGCACTCTGCTGATCTCCACAGGCGACAGGCATGTATAAAAGCAAGAATCGTGCACATAAAATAAATCTTTAAAAAGAGAGAAAGAAACTTGACTGATCTATACTCCCAAGACCTGACCCCTCACTATAGAATAAGGTCCGTATGTTCCATGTATGAGTAACTCATGATTACATGTTTTGCATGTGATCTGATGCTTTTGTTTTTTTTATTTATTTATTTATTTATTTATTTATTTATTTTCTCAAGACAGGGTCTCACTATGTAGCCTTGACTAGCCTGAAACTCAAGAGTGTAGATGGTCTCAAACTTATAGAGAACAGCCCGCCTCCCTAGTGTTGGGATTAGTCACCAAGCCTGACTTGTGGCTATTGTGTTTGTATTAATATTGCATGTATTTATGTATTTTGTTGGGGGGAGCACACGCATGCCCTGGTATGCACGCAGAAGACAGAGAGCAACTTTGGAGAGTTGGTTCTCACCTACTGTGTAGGTCCTGAAACCAAACTCAAGCCGTAAGGGTTGGCAGCTGGTTTTCTTTACCAATGAGCCGTCTCGGGGACCCATGTTAGTTTTGTTTCTTTAATTTCTTTCCTTAATTGTGTTAACATGCACATGTATGATCTTGTGTGCATGCAGAGATCAGAGAAGAACTTGCAGGGCCTGATTTTCTCCTACCACGTGGCTTCAGACTGAACAAGTCCGGGCGTGGTTAATAACAGGTTCAACACAAGTTCTATGCAGTATCCGGCTGGGACTCGGGGCAAGACACTTGGTTAGCAAGCTTGTGGCCGCCGTGGGCTCAGAGATCTAGCACCACAAAAATACCACCAGTAAAAGTCCTTTAGGATGATGTGTCTGTGTACAAAAAGGTTATGTGACTATTGTGTAACTGATTTGGGGGCGGGGGTATTTTTGTTTTGTTTTTCATACAGGGTGTCATATAGCCCAAATTCACCATTTAGCCACACTATGGACTATGATCCTCCTACCTCCTCCTTTCTAATGCTGAGAATATACACCATCACCTACTTCATTTGAATGACTGAATATACTTAGGTGGTGACTTTTCTCTATGTGATGGGTGTCTGCCCATACGTGTCTGTGCATCACATGTGTGTCATGCCCCTGTAGACCAGAATAGGGGTTGGGTCCTCTAGAATGGTTGTTAGTTACCATATGAGTGCTGGGAATTGAACCCTGGTCCTGTGCAAGAGCAACGACTGATCTCACCAGACCCATCCCTTATGTTTTTATTTGTAGTCCTGATGGGCTTGCTCTTTTTATATTGTTCCTGCACTCAGGAGTCACAGCCTAAACCCCAAGAAGTCAGGTTTTGCCATCCATCCTCAATAGACCAATTAATAGTGAAAGCAGAAAAGGGAGATTTATTCAATGTGGCCACACAGGGAGAGAGAAAAAGAGATCCACCAACTTCCCCCATCTTTGGGGTCATGACATGAGTGTAGGGTTAACTAAAAAGCAAGAGATATGCATTTCCAAAAGGTATGATGCCCAGCCCACTACTGCTAGGTCAGCTAACTAGTCAGGCCTTGACAAACAGACAAGTTCCTCCGTTGGATTCCCAAGGGTTTCAGCCATCTCCTCTCCAATAGAGAGATTTCTGGGGAGATTCTAATATCCCCCCCCCTTCCTTTCACAGTCACAGTATACAACTGCTAAGTGATTCCCCCATATGGCTTGATGGTTACATGACCAGTGAGTGTCCCTGCCCCTGCTTGCTTGTGTGTTCACTGGAACTCACAGAAGATGGCCAGAAGGGAGGAGTCTACATTTTTTTCGAGAATGCCTTCTGGCCCAGCGCCCCCTGAGGCTTGCCACACTGATGCTGTCTTTCATTTAGAATGTAGGCAACCTTGAGCTGCAATCCACATCTGTACTTCCAAAACATTGGAGCAGAAGGATTAAGAGTTCAAGGCCAGCTGTAAAACAAATCCAAGGCTATTCTATCCACATGAGATGCCGTGAACGAAAAAAAATAGTAAATCTTAGGAGTTTGACCACAATGATAAGAATCTGTAAAGTCTTGATTTGACTCTTTGATTCTCTCCTCTTTATCATCTATGATCTATCTATCATATACATATCTATGATCTATACGTCTATCGTCTACCTATGATCTCTCCATCATCTATGATCTATGACTTATCTATGATTCATCAATCATCTATATATCTATCATCTATCAATCATTCTATGATCTCTTTATCATCTATCTATCATCTATGATCTATCTAGCATCTATATATCTATTACCTATCAATCATCTATCATCTATCTTCCTATCTATCATCTGTCTATCTCTATCTCTATGTGTACTGTATTCACAGATGTGTCCCATACACACAGAGACCAGAGGCGACACTGGTTGGCCTGTTCCATAACTCTCTGCTTTATTCCTTTGAGACAGGGTCTCTCCCTGAACTTGGAGGTAAGCAGGAGTCCAGCAAGCCCCAGGAATGCTCCTGACCCTCTTCATTAAAGTTGGACAATCCCTTATTCTGATTTGATCTTAGCAGCTGTGGCAGCATGTCCTCAATGTTGCCCCTGTCCAATCTTACACTAGGAAAATTGCAGCTGTCCTGGAAAGTATGTGGGACTCGCTGGAGGCAAAGCCAGCCATTGTTTGGGAAATACTGGGATGTACCCATGGCAGGACCTTTTCTGTATATTATAGAAAATGAAATGATTTTTCTTCTGCGCCTATCTGGGTTTTGTTGTTGTTGTTACTTAAGAGAACACTTCATTGGTTTCTGGAGTCAAACCTACATAGACAGACAGCTTGATGATGGACATAACAAGAGCAGAAGAGGTAAATAAATAACCTAGTAGATCAGATGGCCCTGTGCTGGGAAGCAGCATTTGGTTTCTTTGGAGAAATGAGTGGGCCTGGATGTCCTAAGAAGAGATTTTGAGTGAAATAATGAGTTCACATTGTAAAGACTTGCCCTAGAGGTCATGTCACGATCGGGTGTCATTAAATTCAGGTAGGAGTGTACAGCCCTCACCCTTCTCAGACCCCTCTGGGTCTTCAGATGGATCACAGAGACAGGGGTACCACAAACACAGCGGCCATCCTTTACCTCCTTCTGGGAGGCAGTGGTTAGAAGTACTTGAAACGGGTGAGTGAGGCGACCTATCAGTTCCCTCCAGGGTCTCATGGCTCAGTGGGAGGCTTCGCTGTGAGACTGTGGATTGAACTTGAGTCTAGGTAGGCTCTTGCTGTGACCCTGAAGGAGCTTCTTCCACTGGGATCTTCTACTAGTGGATCTATTTCTCAGGAGCATTAGCGTGAGAGAGAAAAAGAGAGCGTGTGTGAGTGTGTGAGAGAGAGAGAGGGAGAGAAAAAGAGTGAGAGAGAGAGAGAGAGAGAGAGAGGGAGGGAGAGAGAGAAAAGGACAGAAAGAGAGGGAGAGAGAGAAAGGGAGTTGAGCTGAGTTGCTTCTCGCTCACTCTTCAGATCCTAAGGAGACCCTGGCAGGAAGCATGTGTGGAAGGTCCTGTGTAGGATTTGCCGATCATCTGACCACCTAACTAAGGTGACCCCGACGTATTACACACCTGAATCCTCTTCCTGAGCATGTGATATTATACCATGACGATATATGGTTTCTTCCCTTGATTCTCAGGCAACCCCAGGAAGAACAACACTGCTATTATTCTTTATGGCTAAGGAAATTACTCCAATCACAGGGCAGCAGACAGGACGGCACAATAGGGTCCTCTTGTGAATATTTTATTAGGTGAGATAATCCAAGTGGTAGCTAGGACCCAAGGCCACAAGTTGGGGTTGCGTTGGTTTTCCGTAACCCCCGAGGTACCAGCCATGGGGATGGTGTGGATGGAGAATGGAGAAACGGTAGGAGCAGAGTTCAGAACGGGGCACAGGGCTCGCTTGCTCTTTACTGGCAGGAGCTCCTACTTGGAAATGGGTTTTATCTCCCTTTTTCTGAATCGTGCTCCACAAATGGGAAGCCGAGGAGCAGCCAGAGTTCTCCAGTATGCTGAGAACTGTGGCCAGGTGTTTGGAGAGGAGGCTGGGAGCTGCTTCAGCTGGGGCCTCAGAGAGGACCTGGGCAAACGGCAGCCTAGGGTGAAGAATGCTTTCACCCTTGACTTGATGAAGTGTCCCTAAAGGAAGGATTAGGTTGGCACTTGAAGGAGTGGCATTATAGATTCCAAGAGATGCTCAGAGTCGATTCATACACAAGTGTACATCGTGTGTTGGGGGTGGGGTTCCTCTTGGGGAGTGGTTTTGCCCCCAGCAAGTACCCATCCAGAAGAGAACACAAGGGTGGGAAGGACAGGGGAGGGAAGGCAGGTAGGTAGGAAAACGGACAGAAACCACAGAAGATGGAGAGAGAGAGGGAAAAGAGAGGCAGGGAGGGATTCAGTGTTGACAGGTATAATCCGGGCTTGTCGGTCTTACCAGGATCAGCCCGCACATGCTGGCAACCTCGGATTTCCTCCTCAGTGTAAATTACCAACCGCCCAAATCATCTCTGACGTTAGCTCTGTGCCCTGTCCCCAGCTTCCTCTCACTCTCTCCCTTGCTACCGGACCGCTGACCAATGTAGTCCATGCCGACGTGTAACTTCCACTTAGAAACCTCCATTGCAGGGGGGGGGGTGCGTGCTGCCCAGTCTCCCCCTCTTGGGACGACGTGTGACCCCATAGGCAGCACCTCGGCGACCCACCCCCACCCCGATCCCCAGCAAAGACCTCACTCACTCTGCCCATGGCCTGGTTTTCATGTTCGGCGTCTGGGAGTGAGTGTTCCGTGTGCGCCGGTTTCCAAAGCCCGTCACTGACAGTATCGCCGCGATACCAGACTGTCCATGCAGGAAATCACAGTCTCTGTTTTCACTATCTTCCAGTGTCATCTTGCATTACAACATATAAGAAGACACCACCTCCAGTCCCACCCAGAACTACCACGAAACCTTTCATTTCTATCACAGCCCAGAGTAGCACAGAGTCTGCGCAAGACGCCTACATGGATGGACAAGGCCAGCGTGGAGACATGATCAGCCAGTCTGGCCTCAGCAACTCCACCGAAAGTCTAGACAGTATGAAGGCTCTGACAGCCGCCATCGAGGCCGCAAACGCCCAGATCCACGGCCCAGCAAGCCAACGCATGGGCAATAACGCTGCTGCTGCTGCTGTCACGACCACCGCCGCCGTAGCCACCGCCACCACCACCGAGGACAGGAAGAAGGACTTTAAGAAAAACCGATGCCTGTCGATTGGGATACAGGTAACAGCTCCCCGTACCCTTGAGATGCAACCCAGCTACGGAGAAGCGTGCCTCTTCCTGATTTGTTTGTTTTGTTTTGTTTTTGTTTTTGTTTTTCCTTTTTCCTGTGCGCGTGTGTGTTTTTGTTTTTCTCCAGATCACCATTTTGCCATTGGAAGTGAGATAGCTATGTGTAGGATGAGAATTTCAAGTTATTAGTGCTGAATTTATGTATGTGTGTGTGTATACATGCATGCATGCATGCATACATACATACATACACACATATATATATATGTTTATTTTTTTTACCTTGTTAAGTGTGATCAGAATCATGAAGGTGTTTTATCTGTACCTCTTAGCTGCTAAAGAGAAATGTGGCTGTGGCAGGTGGTGCATGTCCTTAATCTAAGCTCCCAGGAAGCTGAGGCAGCAGAGCTGCAGACTGAGCCAATGTGGTGGTACACACCTTTAGTGTCTGCACTACGAAGCAGAGGCAGTCAGAGCTCTGTGAGTTCAAAGCCGACCTGGGTTACACATTATGGTTCTGTCTCAAAAAGAAATAAGAAAAGGAGGGTTGCACGTTTAGGCTGCTTATCCCTTTCTTAAAACAAACAAGCCAAAATACCCAGAAATGAAAGGGCAGAATTACAGCTGCCATTACTTTGTATCCTAACCCTTTGGGCTCAAGTACATTTTGATTCTCAAACAGAGTTCAGGAGCTGGAGAGATACACGTTCATGACTAAGCACACCTGCTGCTTTTACAGAGGATCTGGGTTTGGTTTTCAGCATCCAGATGGCGACTTACAACCAGCTGTGTAATTTCAGCTCATGGGGACCCAGTGCCCTCTCTGGCCTCCTCAGACACCGGTTACACACATGGTGCACACACACACACACACACACACACAGGCAGGCAAACACTCACACATACACAGATAATGATTTTTTAATTGAAAGTAGTTCCCCCCCCCCACACACACACAGGCAGGCAAACACTCACACATACACAGATAATGATTTTTTAATTGAAAGTAGTTCCCCCCCCCACACACACACACACGCACACAGACTATATCTGTGGAAAATATCACTATATTCTGATCATGGTTTCCCCTCACCCAGGTCCTCCCAGAACCTGCCCACCTCCCTGCCCAGATTCTTTTTTTCTCTCTCTCATTAGAAAACAGACAAGCACATAACAATAAAATAAAGTAGGAATAAATAAACCAGAGTAGGACAGAACAAATAGGAAAAAAAAACAAGTCAAAGAAAGAGCACATGAAGTATATATATATATAGATGCAGACACACTGAGCTCCCGTACAAAACATAAGATCGGAAAACAAAGGCCTGCAAGGTTTAAAAGAGAAAATACCCTCGACAAAGCACTAAGTACAAAAACCTCCAAAGACACCACTCAGTTAGTTTTGTGCCGGGCGCGGGGCCTGCCCTTAAGTGTGGTTTGTGCACCCACTGAGACTGCTTTGAAGAAAACGAGTTTTCCTTTGCGAGCAGTTGCCCATGAAGTAGCTTCTGAGCTAGGGTGGGGGTCCCTGCCCACTTTCTCCTCTCAGCACTGGGACCCCATCCGTCCCGGAACCATGCGGGCCAGCACTGCGAGCTCATGCGTGTGCTGGTTTGGTTCTGCTGTGTCTAGAAGGCCTTGTCTCCTCGGTGTCTTTTATTCAAAAGAGTATGAGTGAAGCTTGAGTGCACAGAGGTGCTTTCTGCAAGCCTGACAGCGTGAGGTCAGTCCGTAGAAGCCGCTGGTGGAGGGGGAGGCCCAACACCTGTAGTGTGCGCGTCCTCCCAGCACAGCGCTAGAGACCTGTCACACACATGCCCATACTCACAGATACTCCCTCTCCCTCCCTCCCTCCATCTCACACACATACACACACACACGCACACGCCCGTACAATACATACTCTCAAACACATGCGCTCACACACACTCACATATCACACACACACATTCACACAGTACATACACTCATGCACATTCACAAACACACTCACATATTCACCCACACACACACACATATTATACACACACACACACACACATTCACACAGTACATACACTCATGCACATTCACAAACACACACTCACATATTCACCCACGTGCACAAACACTCACACACAACGCATACACGCACACGCGCACACATGCCGGCACACTCCAGCACTTTCACACACACACACACACACACACACACGATACCAAAGTTAGTAAAGGAGTGCGTATCCGAGTATTGCTGAGGCCATCACCAGGTCGCCTTATGCCTGATCCCATTGAAGTGCCACATGAGAACAAACTGTGATTCATCACTCACAGATGCGGGAGGCCAAGGGCAACCGCTAACGTGGAAAGCAACAGCTCACCCAGCCTCAGGAGGAAGGGAAGCGATCGGGCCATTGTTGGCTAGTTAACCATGCGTTTCGTGAAAATATAATAGCCAGTTCAGAGACTTCTTGGCTCTTTTCCCAACTCATGCTCCACAGAGGAAATGTTACGGAAAATATTTTATTGTGTTGTCAATTTCTAAAACAACACCCATCTGACCTTGCTTTGGTTTTTTTTTTTTTTTTTTAATGTATTATGTGTGCACACACGCACACAGACACTTTCAACAGCGCACTTGTGGAGGTCAGAGGTCAGCTTTCAGAACTTGATTCTCTTCTTCTGCCCTGGATGTCAAACTCAAGTGAGGAGACTTACTTAGCGGCACGGCTCTTACCCACTGAGCCATCTTGCCAGCCCATCTTTTTTTACACCTGTCAGGGTGACCCTAAGACACATTCATGTCTGTGGTACCTTCTGAAGGTGACAGTCATTTCTCGACAAGGCAGACCGTGAGTCACAAGCACACTGAACCCACTCTTGGAACGTCTGCAAGCCAGGCGTGAGCACATTTTCATTCTACTGTTGTATCTTCACAGTCCATTCTGCAAAGTTCCCCTTTGAAGGACAATTACCGCTTCCCTCACAGAGGGGAGCCAGGTGCCTTCCTCTAGGCTGCATAGCACGGGTGGTCAGGTCTCCCAAAGGCAGCGCACCGCACGGAAGCTTGGGAGTAGATGGCAGCTTAGGAGTCAAGAGTTCAAGCCAGCCCCCTGCCCATATCTCCTGGTTCCCACTGGAAGCTGAGTTTCCCTTCAGTCACTAAGGGATCTGACCCTCCTGCCTTTCCTACCAAATGATAAGATTATAGGCATGCATCACCAGCACTGGGAACAAGTGAAGATTTCTATTTATTTATTGTGAGTGTAGAACAGGGGTGAGGGAGGGGGGTATTACTGCCATGGCACACACATAGAGATCAGAAAAGAACTTACAGGAGCGTGTTCTCTCCTTCCGTTATGCAGGCCCCAGGGTCTAATCCATCTTGGCAGTGTGCCCTCCCCCCCCCCCCCCCGGTGAGCCATCTTGCTCATCCAAGAATGAGGTTTTGAAAACTCTAAAATTCCAGGCCTGCAAGATGGCTCGGAGGGGGAGAGGCTCTTGCTAGTACAAGGCTCATCTTCTGAGCTTGAGTCCCAGGGCCCATGGTAGAAGTTGAGAACCAACTCCTGAGAGCTGTCCTCACCATGGCTGGCACCCCAACTCACCAGTACCACAAGACACACACACTCTAGACCCGTGTCGGGTTGTTGTTTAGCGGACACAGGTCTCTGTTTGGGATGCCGAACCACTCTGCCATGGCTGTTGGTGGTAGCTGCACAGCAACGCAAGTGTGTTCAGCACCGCTCAACCATGCACATCACCATGGTTACCAGTGGGAAAGTTTACGTTACACAGGCTTCACCGTGGTGATTAAAGTATCTGCCTTTCTATCTGGCACCAAATTAGTGCCATGGAATGATAGCTTGCTTTCATTTCCTCAATGTTTGCATCATTCTCTTTCCCTCTTTGTATATTATTTTCAATAGCTAATGCATCATCCGAAACTCAAAACATTGTTTAGCTTTTATTTACTTGTCTTACGAACATTTGTATGTGGTGACTGTGCCTGAATGCATGTCTGTGCACCATGTGCATGCAGAAGTTTGCAGAGGTTAAAAAACAAAAACAAAAAAAAAAAAAAAAAAAAAAAAAACCAAAAAACAAAAAACAGGACACTGGATTCCTTGGAACTGGAGTTATAGGAAGTTGTGAGCCATGTGCTAGGACATGGACCCTTTCAAGAGCAGTTTGTGCTCCTAGCCTCTTAGCCATCTCTCTAACCCCCAAAATTGTGTGTGTGTGTGTGTGTGTGTGTGTGTGTGTGTGTGTGTGTGTGTGTGTGTGTAAGATGACAAGACTTCTCAACAAGCTGTGATCAAAAACCAATCCATTCTCTTTTGGATGGGAAATCAGTACACTCAGTATTTGTGTATAATGCTATTTTGTGAATATTCTAGCAAATATCTGTTTTTCTTATTCCTATGTTGCCCTGATGTTAACATGTATCTTACAATACTCTATGCTTTGCTTTAATGTTTTTTTTTTTCTTTTATCACATCTGCTTAGTTATTTAATGTGCCATGGGGGGGCTGGCTTATGGCATGGCTTGCTTCTGGAAGTCGTAGGACAAACTGGTTCTTTTTTTCTACCGTGTGGCTCCTAGGGATTGAATTATTCCATTTGTCAGGCTTGGTAGCTTGTGATTTTGACCTGCTGAGGTATCTCATCTGCCCACGGTTTCTTGTCTGTTTTTTTTTTTTTTTTTTTTTTTTTTTAAATTTGTTTGTTCTCAGGACAGAGTTTCCCTGTATAACCCTGGAACTTGCTTTGTAGACTAGACTGGCCTCAGACTCAGAGATGCACCTGCTTCTGCCTCCTGAGTACTGGGATCAAAGGCGTGTGCCACCACAACCACCCGGCAGCACACCTTTTTTTCATTTAATATGTATTCCGGGTGGGGTCAGGTAGGGCGTCAGATAACATCAGTTGCTCCCCAACTTGCTATATAAACTTAAAACTTCTGGTCCTCCTGTGTCCACTCCCCAAGTGCTGGGATAACAGACGTACACAACCATGCCCAGTTTATGTGGTGCTAAGGATCCAACCCAGGGCTACACACACGCTAGGCCAGTGATCTGCCAACTGAGATACATCTCCATTCCCCCTTTTGTGTCTTAACTGCTAATTTAGAGCTTCCAAGAACACATTTGTCTGTGAAACTCCCTTCCAATACTCACAAGACATTGCATACAGTTACCCTCCATATCCACGTGTTTGATATACACAGACTCAGTCAGCCTGCCCCTGGGGCGGGGGAGATGGCTCAGTAGTTAAGAGAACTTGCTCATACTCCAGAGGACCTGAGTTTGGTTCCCAGCATTGGCAGTGGGGGAATGGCTCACAGCTGCCTCTAACACAAACTGCAGCAGGTTCAACACCATCATCTGGCTTCCACAGGGTGGCCGCACGCACGTGACATATGCACACACAGACTCACATACATAAGAATAAATCTTCAGAAAAGTGCATCTGTGCTGACCGTGTATAGACAATTTCTTTTCATTATTCTGTACACCGTGCAACTCTGCATATCATGTCGGTAGTATTAAGTAGGAATGCTTTAGACATAGCAGCATACAGGGAGGGATGGTGTAGCCATGGGTAGGCACTGAGCCATCTCATGTGAGAGGTTTGAGCCTTCTTGAATCTGGATATCTATGGTGATCATAGAACCAATTCCTGTGGAGACTGGTGAACGACTATGCTTGTAAGTCTGTGGAGGAATCGTAGACATTTGTCAGCTTTGGGAGTAAAACTGTGTTTTATTAAAATCAGTAGAGTCGGGGACTAGAGAGACGGTTCAGTCTTTAAGAGCACTTGTTGCTTTGGCTGAGGAGCAGGGTTCCGTTCCAGCACTAACACACACAGTGGCTCTCAACTGCCTATGACTCCAGTTTCAGGGGATCTGCTGCCCCCTTCTGGCCTCCCCAGGCACTTGCACACATGTGGTGCAAATACATACACTCAGGTGCACACACACACACACACACACACACACACACAGTTTTACAAAATATTACCAGACTCGGAGACCATGCTAATGATGTGGCAATTGCCGATATCAAATGCACAAATATGAATTAAAGAGGTTATAAATCACAGAACATTGCCATCATAGCCGTAGGTGCCTGAGATGAACACACATTTGTTTCTCAAGTGGGGCGATGGAAAAGGCTCAACTCTGCTTGCTCGATCGTTTCTTCAGGTGGACGATGCTGAAGAGCCGGAGAAAACGGGGGAGAACAAGGCGCCCAGTAAGTTCCAGTCCGTGGGAGTGCAAGTAGAAGAGGAGAGATGGTGAGTCCACGGCTTCTGTCCCTCCTGTCTGCCGGCCGGGATGGTAAAGTGCTCATCCCAAGGCCAACCTGCCCTTTCTTTTCACTGAGTCTGTTTGTGCTTAGAAAGCTTCAGTCTGGGGCTGGAGAGACGGCTCAGGGCTTAAGAGCCCTGCCTGTTCTCCCAGAGGACCTGAGTTCAGTTCCTAGCAACCGTATGGTGGCTCACAGCCATCTGTAATGAAGTCTGGTAAATAAATAAATCTTAAAAAGAAAGAAAGAAAGAAAGGAAGGAAGGAAGGAAGGAAGGAAGGAAGAAAGAAAGAAAGCTTCAGTCAAAACCAGATGCTCCTCTCTTGTAATCATGGAGACACATCATCTGAGCTTTGGTTACAACAGTAGCTGAAGCGTGTCACGTTCTCATAACACTGGATGCAAATGTCAGGCTGCCCAAGGTCCTTGTCTCAAACTTTATAGCCATTTTATGTTAATTATTATTGTTGTTAGTGTCATGTCATTGTTATTATTGTTACTTTTGTTGTTGTTGTTAAGACAGAGTTGAACTGTGTACCCCTGGCTGATCTGGAACTCAAAACCCAAGCTGACCTCAAATTCACAAAGATTGGCCTGCCTCTGTCTTCTGAGTGCTGGGATGTGACTTTTTAAAATTGTGATTTATGTCTGTGTGGGTATGTGCTTGGGAGTGCTGGTGAACTTACACATACACACACACACACACACACACACAAAATAATTAACTTTTTAACAGTAGAGCTATGCCTTTCCTCTACTGCTTGTATCTAACTCTGCCTAGCACTAGCCAAGGGACCTTGAACATAAAACTACACATCTGAGTGCTTGGTGTCCTTTGATGAAAAGGATGACAGCTTTCTGCCTGCATTTCAGGAGCTGGGAGGTCACCACTGTACCCTCTAATAAGAAAAGATCTGAACAAACCAAAAAAGCTCATCCTTGGGGCTTGGGCCTTAGAGGTTAAAAACACTGGCCTTGCTTGGCACTTGTGGTGCGGCCTTTAATCCCAGAACTTGGGAGGCAGAGGCAGGCGGATCTCAGCAAGTTCAAGACCAAGCTGGTCTACAGAGTGAGTTCCAGGACAGCCAGATCCTGTCTCAAAAAAAAAAAAAAAAAAAAAAAAAAAAAAACCCAAAACAAAACCAAATAAACAAAAAGCACTGGATGTTCCTCCAGAGGACGTGGGTTCAATTCCCAGCACCCACATGGCAGCTTACAGTTGTCCAGATGGACCCAGATGCCCTTCACTGTTCCTTTTTAACAGTGCAACAAGGACATAGGTATTATGTAGGTCAAGGAAGAAGACACAAAGATTGTTTTGTTCACAGAGTCTACATACATAGGTCATATATGTAGAAAATTCAAAAGAGTGTACATTGTAAACGCTTCAGGACTTTGTAAGTAATTATAATGAACATGTAGGATGACCATACAAGACTGAGTCACTTTCCAACATGTCCACAGTGGTGAAGTAGATTTGACATTAAAAACACAGTAACGGGGTTGAAGAGATATCTCAAGGATGAAGATCACTTCCTGTTCTTCTAGAGGACCTGTCTTTAGTAACTAAGTCCCACTTCAGGTTACATACGCCCGCCTGTAAGTACCCTTCCAGATGCCTCTGACTTCCTCCAGCAACTGCACTCATGTGTACACGCCCACACCCAGGCACACACATATATACACCACTGGACAATATTAATAATAAAATTTTAAATAAACTTAGGCTTTGTGATGCCAAGCATGACGACTCAAGTTCAGTTTCCATATTTATATATACACATATACATATACACACATTCACATTTACACACACACACACTGGCACACATACATACACCCGCACATACGCACCCCAGTAATTTGTAAAACGGTTACTCTTAATTACGCACATGCATCTGTATGGGAATTTGCACATGCATGTAAGTGAGACCAGATCTCCTGGAGCTAGAGTTGTGCACCCTCTGACTTGGGTTTGGGAACTGAACTCGTGTCCTCTGAAAGAGCATTATAAAAGCTCTCAGTTGCTGAGCCTTCATAATACCTTTTTGAAAAAATTATGAGCAGTGCCTGGCATGAGGGTGTACTCCTTTAATCTCAGCACCCTAGAGGCTAAAGAGGTGGATTGAGACCAGCCTAGGCTATGAGGTAGGGAGCTCCAGGACAGCCAAGGCAAATAGTGAGACCCAGTCTCAAAGACACAAGCAACTAAGTGAATAAACAAGTTAATTAATCCCCTAGAAGGGCTGACAGTAATTTTAGTGCTTTAACCTTCTAGAACGCTCCCTCCACAGGCCACTTTGTAGTTGGCCTTTCCGTGAGGTAAATAAGCGTTTACATAGATGTGCGTGGCTATGGGTGAAATGAACTCATTGTCAGACATGAAGGGGTTTCTTTCATCTTCTCTAACAATTCCTCTTTATGATTCTGGTGCTGGCAGTTCACTTAGATACCATCCTACAAAGCAAAAATTCGGTGGCGGTTGAGATTCCTTCCCAGTGACTGGATGAGCACGCACCCCAATTATGTAGTGTTAATGAGGGACCAGCTGTTTTCACGCTGAATATCTGATGATAATCCAGGCTTTCTTCCCCCAAACAGACTGGAGGATAAGAAGTGGCAGTCCCACAAAACGTGAGAAAAGAGAGAAAATAGAACCAGAAGAAAGAAACTGATATGCCAGAGGCCAGGAAAGTCCTGGCCTTTTTGAATGGTCACAGTTTAAGTAACAACCAACCTCAAAAACCGACCTGACTGATGTGACTGAGCAGGACACTTCAGAGTTCTGAATTGAAGTAAATCAGCTCATAAGCAGCTGACAAAGAGATAGATAAACACACTAGGTGTGCTAGGCAGAGATCTGCTCCAAGAAGAGGCATGGGGCATAGGATATGGCAGCAAGGTCATGCTCAGAATATCGTGGATGGCGGACGGGCCATGTCCTCTCTCCCGCGCAGCATCACCGTGGGGACTATGCCCTGGGTCGTTTTGCAAGGGAGACTGTTCTCTGAAACCAAATTCCTCTCCTTTATCAACATCTGCTACCCCCGCACCCCCCCTCCCCCAGTTCCTGCTCTGCTCACTAGCTCACTCCCGCAGGCCAGCTAGCACCATGATCACACGATCCAAGGGATACTACTACATTTGCTGACATGAAGGGTGGATCCTAAGCAGACAGCACAATGCCTCCTCCTCCGCAGCCCTGCGTGCGAGGCCTCCTACGGCGGTCCCATTCTTTGTCTGCTCTCAGGAATTCCTATGAAGTCTTCTAGGCTTTCGGGCTGATAATTAACAAGTCCAGGAAAGTAATCTTTTCTGTTGACTGAGGTGGGAAAGCCTGAGGCTCCCAGGGGGCCCCCTTTTCCGTAATGACGATTGTATTAGCCCAGAGACTTTAAACTGCCCTTTGTTACATGGCCCACTGGTGATTCTGAGCCCAGCAGTGGGCACAAGAAAGGAAGTGATGACTGCCTCTGCGATAAAAGGACTATGCAGACTTACTCAGAGGCAAAAGGTAGGGGGGATGTGGCAACAAGTTATAACTGATGGGCTTCAGAGCAATTGGGAAAACAAAAACCACCTGTGTCTGTGTGTCTCCCCCCCCCCAACTCTTCTCTTTACACTGTCTTTCAAAATAAGGATTGTGTACTACTGAATGATTCAGTTAACACTAAGAAAAGGAGACAGTTGATGGTTTGATTCCCAGCACCCACTTGGCAGCTCACAACGGCTGTAACTAAAGTCCCAGGGGATCTGTCACCCTCTTCTGATGTCCAAAGACATCAGGCACGCATGCGGTGCACATATATAACGTGCAGAACACCCAAACACATAAAGTAATAAAAATGAAAAGGAGAAAATAAAGGAAGACCACAACGTAAGTTTTCTCTTTAAAAACCCATGCCAGATAGCTAGGCGCCAGCTACTAAGCCTGAAGACCTGAGTTTGATCCAGGGATCTATATGATAGAAAGAGAGAACCAAAGTCCGTAAATTGTCCCCTGACCTCCATACACATGCCAGAGTATATGTACACCCCCACACATATGTACATATAGACATATAAAATAAGTAACTTTAACAATGTTAAAGAAACAACTTGCTGGCTTGAGTGCCGCACGCCTTTGATCCCAGCGCTCCAAAGACAGAGGCAAGAGGATCTCTGTGAGTTTGAGGTCACTCTGCTCTACATGGGGAGTTCAAAGGCAGCCATGAGTTCATTGAAAGACTCTGTCTCAAGAGGAAGGCAGGGAGGGAGGGAGGGAGAGAGGGAGGGAGGGAGGGGCAGAGAGAGGGAGGGAGGGAGGGGGAAGGAGGGAAAGGGAAGGGAAGGGAGAAAGTAAGTTTTCTGTGTTTAATTGAAGAAGTACTAACACTTGTTACTGCCTTTTTTTTCTTTCTTCTGTATCATCTTGGGGGATGTCCAGTGGCATCTCAATTAGAATTTCTCTAATGAATAATGATATTGGTTGTTTTTTTCATGTGTCTACTGGACAATTGTGTATCTCTTTGGACAGTATCTATTCAAGCTGCTTGCCTTTTTATATAAATTGGGTTGTGTGTTCTTTTGTTAGGTAATTTTTTAAGAATTATTTGCATATTCACCACCAGTCCTTTTATCGAATTTTAAATGTATCATTTCCCCCACATTCTATGAGCTGGCTTCCCACTCTCTGTAGGGGCATTTCAGGTGCCAGAGTTTGTAGTTTTGAAAAAGCCCATGGATACTGACACACACCTTTAATCCTAACACTCCGGAGGCAGAGGCAGGAGGATCTCTGAGATCGAGACCAGCCTGGTCTACAGAATGAGTTCCAAGACAGCTAGGACTATTACACAGAGAAAACCTAACCCCCCCAAAATAATTTAAAAGTCCAGTTTATATCTTTGTTTTGTTACATTTCCAGTATCCTGCTTAAGAAATTATTATGAAGGGGCTAGAGAGATGGCTTGGGGGGTAAGAGCACTGGTTGCTCTTCCAGAAGACTCT